CCCCGCGGGCCCGGCCTGGCGCGGCCGCCCGCCGCCACACTCCTCCTCCTCCTCCAGCGCCCCGCGGCCGGCTGCCTCCTCCGCCCGCCACCCCGCGCCCCCTGCCGCGCCGCCGCCGCCACCCTCTGCGTCCCGCGCCGCCCCCCGGTCCTGCCCGCCATGCCCGGCCCGGCCGCGGGCAGCAGGGCCCGGGTCTACGCTGAGGTGAACAGCCTGAGGAGCCGCGAGTACTGGGACTATGAGGCTCACGTCCCGAGCTGGGGGTAAAGCCGCCGCCGAGCCCGCTAACCCCTTCCCCCGCTAGGCCACCCCCCTCAAACCGCGTTCGGCCCGGGGTGATCTGTCTCCCCGCTGGCTCCTCAGCTGGGCCGGCGCTTCCATGGGTCTGCGATGGGAGGCAGAGTCCCCCATCTCGCACGTGTCCTCGTTTTCCTCTCCTCACCCCACCCCCGGTATCGTCCCTTTCTCCCTGCTTTGCGCACCCTTTTCCCCCTCGCAAGAAATGCTTTCGTAGTGGGGGAGAAGTGTAGTGTCCAGAAATCAAAGCCTGGTGGAAGTGAGGGAGAGCAGCCTTTCCGCTTTATACTTTGGGGTTTTTATTGGGGTGGGAAGTCAGCAGCTGTCCTCTTCAGCTATTAAAATTCTCTGCCTTTTTAGTTTTCTGAAATGAGGCTAGGTGGGAGGACATTTCTTAAAGACGTCCAGATTCTCCAAGCGGGCACCGTCTACCTTCAGGGTGTGAAACAGGAAGCAGGTGTTGTGGAGCCATGGGGCAGAGGGGGTATCCTCTGGGCCTCCAGAATGGATGCTTTGCTTGCCCCTCTAGGTTGGCTCAGAGGGTTGCTTTCCTACCCCGTTTCCGCACGTTATGAGGGACCAATTAGGTTAGGAGCTCTGCAGAGTGAAGGGAGCCAAGTTTATGTTGTAGCTTTCATTTAGGGAATGAGTTGTGGCTGATGTATAAACACTTCCAAGTGTTTGATTAATGGAAGTGGCTGAATGGAGTGTACAGTGGGCATAGGCTTGGTTAATCCCAAATCCTGGCATTTATGTGTGTTTCTTACCTTTCACAGTAATCAAGATGATTACCAACTGGTTCGAAAACTTGGTCGAGGAAAATATAGTGAAGTATTTGAGGCCATTAACATCACCAACAATGAGAGAGTGGTTGTAAAAATACTCAAGGTGAGTGTCCTATGAGTGGTATGTAACATTTTTCCTCCCCACAGGTCAAAAGGATATAAGCCACAGTATAGAAAGAGCAGTCAGTGCAAGCTCACGTTATGTATCTTCTGTCTGATGTTAATCCATTACTGCTCACACCCCATTTCCTGTGAACTTTCAAGAAAATACAGACTGATCTCAAATCTAAGCATCATAGTTCAGGAACGCCCTTGTTCTAAATTGCAAATTATGGGCAACCAAAGCAAAAATTCCAAAAGGGCTCCATTTGTTACAAAATAAATAGGTATTCAAAAGAAAGAAAAGCCTTTTCATGGAGATTCCATCAATTTAAGGGCTCCTTGAGCACTATGGTTGTTAGTCTTGGGGCTCTAAGTTCCTCCAGAAAGAAAGTTGGGAAAAATTGGAGCAATTTCAGAGATGAGTTTGAAGCCCAAGTGGAGGGAAACTCCTCAGTGGATAATCAGTTGTTCGCCTTGGGCTATAAAGTTTCAGGTGGGATAGATACAGTGAGCCATCAGTGACGGGAAGCCTAGTCGGGGAGCCAGTGAGCCGTTGTTGCTTATCAGCTAGTAAAAGTGAAATTTGGAACAGTAAAAGGGTACACTTATGATCACTAAAATAATAATTGGAACAAAACTGTCTTAATATCTGGTTTAGCAATCTCAGTTTGATAATGATGCCTTTTGTTATCTCTTGGATGAAGACATGATTTTAATGAGCATGAAGAATTGGCTAAATTTTCCTTCAGGTAACAGACTGTAGCTTTAAGGTTTTATAGGATATGCTGAAAAGTAATTCTTAGAATCTCTGATGGGTCCTCATTATTGCCGGATCATTTAACACGTGTACATGTCATTTAGTGAAAGATCGAGAAGACTTAGAATGATAAAAGCACTTTTACATGTGCATGATTTCCAGTGTGGCTATTTTGCAAAGGTTCTGTGGAATAAGAGTAAGACTGTGGGATTGAAAAGCTGTTTTTGTGTGTTGGGGCAGCTGTGTAGGTAAATCCCAGTTTAATTTGAGGGGTCAGGCTTACACTTTCTGGTAATCACCTTTCAGGAAAATAGTTAACTCCATCATTCAGTACCATCCTAGCCTAGTGAAAGAGCAGAATTGCAGTAAAGAGAAATAGGCAAAGTTATTTGTGCTGTCAAACACTAGGGATAAGAAGTGAGGAAATGATGTTGCAGATAAAGAGTTTGACTCCCCTCTTCCCTAAATAGTTGCACCTATGATGTCACAAGGTCTTTTTTTTTTTTTAAACAAGCATAAATGTTTAAAGAAATGTTCCTTTCATAGAAGTTACCTGGGGAAGCCATACATTTTCTCCATGTACGTAACCATAAATGTTTTTAATATAAGCTGCTTGAAATCTTTCTAAGAAGTGAGCAAGGCATAAATTGAAATTAGGAATATCCACATTCCACTGCTGTGCATTCAGAAGAATGAATTGCTGACTCTAAAGCAATTCCAGAAAAATATCCAAACTTTTGTGCAACGGCAGCATTTTTAGGATAAGTATGCGATTTCCTGTGGTATCTTTTTTAGAAGGAACAGCATTCAGGTGTGTGTATAAATACCATTGTGGTCATTCAGGAAAGCATCACACTGTTCTTTAGTCATCCTTGTAAAGAACTTAGTAGGGTCAGTTGCTGGATAGTTCTCTCCTGCTCTAAAGATTCTCAGTATATGTTAGGGAACCCAGTAAGGAAGCTGCTGTAGGTTATTTTTACAAAATAGGAGACCGCCGCAACAAAGAAACTTATCTGACATCATTATGTTGAAATGACCCTTAGTCAGAACTCCTGTTTCCTATTTCTTCATGTTTCTTACTGCTCATTTTAACATTGGATTGTAGGATCCTAACGTTGAGCACAGAAACAAGTTCCAGTATTCTGAAGTAACACTTGGGGGCCCCTTGATACTCTAGTTAGCAAAATGTTTCTTGTTTCATTTCAACATGATTTCTTTTCATGGTGCAGCCTGAATCGCCTTGTTTCCACTGATGAAAACTGTATTCACTTCTTAATGTTTTTCAAAGCCCTGTGGCATTTCTGTTCAGATTTTATTATCTCAAGGATGGGGTAAGAAACCATTAATGGTATTGTTTTGGTTTTGTTGTTAAAGTGGATTGAAAGTAGCATTTTTTAAAAAGGACGGGGTCTTTATCCAAAGTTGTGCTGCTTTATTCAAATAAGTTGAAGTTACGACTAATACCTACTTTTGTGGTGTTTGGTCATAGGAAATTAGCGCCTTAACAACTTACCAGCTGCTCCTAATTTGGAGGAATCTAGAACAGGCTTCCTTTCCATATAAGCTTACTGTATTTCAACTGCAGGGTTGCAATTGAATTAATGTACCTATGTATTGTACACATAGTAACTGAGATAGAGGGTACGTTCCTTGAGGACAGACTGTCTTCCTTTTTTAGTCAATAACATTGCATATCAGTTGTTGCCAACATGTGAGAATGGTTGGATGGTGAGTGACCACAGAGGAATTTCATATCATTTAATTTACATCAGTAGATTTCCAAGTACTTATTTATCATAATAAAGTGGACTATTAAGAGGGTGTAGAAATTTAGAAAATGGTGAGCAAAATTTTACTGTGTATCCTCAAGTGAAATTCTGGGGCTAAAATTTTAAAAGAAAACTGTCCGATCAGTAGGTTATATCTGTTTTCGCAGAGACTGTTTTGAGGAGAAAAGAGAAAAAGGAGAAGGGGGAATGGTAAAGGTTTTATATAGCAGGGTAGAAACCTGCTCTAGTGCTACAAGTTTTATCTTTTGGTTCTGAAAAATCAATTCTTCAGTTCCTTTGTAGTGCCTCTTAGAACAGTATACATAGGAATAAAAGAATTTGGACAATTTTTGTCATTTAGTGAATGCTGTGTGTTTTTCGGTACTTCTTGGGGTCCTTGGAATCTTTCAAATTATACTGCTATTTCCTGAATAGTAGTCAAGAGCAATACTGTTTTTTAATTGCCTAAGGACCGTGCAAGAAGCAATACTAGTTTTTAAAAACAAATGTACAGTGTTTTGAACCAGTGCTACAATGACTTGGAAACTCCCATATAAGACGTCCTGTTAATAGTCTTATTTTATAAATAGCTTGACTGTCCATTTTTTTCTCAGAAATTAATTCTTGAGCTTAAAAAAAAGAATGGTAATATTAAAATTTGTTTTTTAAGTATGTTTAGCATATTTGTAGGTATTTTTAAAATTTTGTGTTGTCAGGAAGTGGTGTTAAAAGAAGGGTGCTCACTGATGTCAGATCCTTCTTAGTGACTTCACAGTGAGCCGGTGATCTTTATACCAAAGCAGTGTTTTATTTTTATTTCTCCTTTCTCCAGTGGTATGTTTTTTTACTCTCCATTTAGGCATGTGTATGAAGACATATTGAAGCAACCCATTAGTGGTATATATCTAAGTTTTTTTGTGAATTCTAGTTTTCACAAATGTCTCACGGTATAAAAGGAGCTAAAACACTATTATTTATTACTAAGATTAAGAACAATATAAATGTTAAAAATCGTGTGTGAAGAACTAGGCTGTTTCTAATACTCTGGTTGTGTCACCGATTGAGAGTGTAGTCCCACAGAACATGGGAGCTTGCAAACCATTAGAACCCAGACCCTTTTTACATATGAACCAGGACCCAGGGAAAGGCTGTGATTTGCTCAGAGTCACATGGTTAGGGTTGGAAATACTGGGTTTACAGCCTGGTATTCCTGTCATCGAGTCTTGGTAGATTTGAGGAACACAATTAGGACGTTGGTTGGATATTTGACTTTTTGATGTACTGAATTGTGAAATTAATTTGTTTCTAATGATGTTTGGAGTTACTCTTCTCAAAGGAAGTATTGGACTTTGGTGGGTTGCTAGTTGAAGTACAGAACCACGAATACCTAGAGAGCTATAGGGACCCGGGCACAGGTTCTCTGTGACTTGTATCCACAGTGATATGTTTAATGGGAAAGTGAGATGCTACTTTACTCTTGGTTTGAAGCCTCAGTAAGCAGTGTTTTTATGCTTTTTAACCCATGTGGTTCCTCCAAGTCTCCTCATGACCACTTGCCAGATTTTTGGGTTATTGGTTTTATCCCTTTAACATACAGAGTTTATTCAAAAGTGAACCGTGTGGCCGGGCGTGGTGGCTCACGCCTGTAATCCTAGCCCTCTGGGAGGCCGAGGTGGGCGGATTGTTTGAGCTCAGGAGTTCGAAACCAGCCTGAGCAAGAGCGAGACCCCATCTCTACTAAAAATAGAAACTAAAAATATATAGAAAAAACTAGCTGGGCATGGTGGCGCATGCCTGTAGTCCCAGCTACTCGGGAGGCTGAGGCAGGAGGATCGCTTGAGCCCAGGAGTTTGAGGTTGCTGTGAGCTAGGATGATGCCACGGCACTCTAGCCTGGGCAACACAGTGAGACTCTGTCTCAAAAAAAAAAAAAAGTGAACCGTGTGTGAAAAGAATATTTTGATATAGAGTACCCATTTTCATAATGTACAGTAGGGCTCTAGGTAGTTTCTAGAGCCTAATTCAGGATCTACCACCTCATAATCACGGTGGTATAGTGTAAGAAGTGCTGTAAATGGAGGGTAGAAGACTTGGGTTCCATAACTAGCTCCTTCATTTATACCACTTGACTCTGTTTTCTCATTGGTAAAATAGGTATACATTTCCTACTTAACCCACAGGGTTGTTGGGAGAATCAGGTGAAATGTAGATACATGATCATGTTTTAATAATGTACAAAATGGTTTTCTTTCCTGAGAGAGTATGGCCCAGGAAGTAGACTGCCTGGATTCAGATGTTAATTCCAACACTTAGAAGCTCTATGACATTGAACAAATATATTAAAACTCTCTGCACCTTAGCGTCCTCAAGTAAAACTTCGTTAATAATACTCATCTGAGAGGATTAGAGGCAGAACCAGTAGTACAAAGGTTGTAACATTCTCTTGGTGAAATTCAAAAGGCCTGCTCTGTGTCTTGCCGTTTCTTTCCAATTTTTTTATTATGTTAAAATACATACAAAATACATAAAATTTACCGTCTTAACCATTTTTAAGTGTATGGTTCAGTGGTATTTAAATACGTTCATGATGGTGGTGTGCAGCCATCACCACCACAGCCCCCATAACTCTTTTTGATCTCGTAAAACTGAAACTCTGTACTCATTAAACAGTAACTCCCCATTTCTCCCTCCCCTCATCCCCTGGCAACCACCGGTCTGCTGCCTGTCTCTCTGAATTTGACTACTCTAGGTACCTCATATAAGTGGAATCATATATATAGTATTTGTCCTTTTGTAACTGGCTTATTTCACATAGCATAATGTCCTCAGGAGTCATCCATGTCGCAGCATGCGTCAGAGTTTCCTTCCTTTTTGAGGCCAAATTAATTTTCCATTGTATGTATATACCTCATTTTGTTTATTCATCCAGCAGTGGACTCTTGGGTTGCGTCCATGTTTCAGCTATTGTGAATAGTGCTGCTTTGAACATGGGTGTACAAATACCTCTGCAAGACTCTGCTTCTTTCCAGAAGTGGAATTGCTATTATAGATTATTAGGCAATTCTATTTTTAAGTTATTGAGGGTCTTTCCACAGTGGCTATACCATTTTACTTTCCCACCAACGACGTACAAGGGCTCTTATTTCTCCACGTCCTTGTTAAGACTTGTTATTTTCTATTGTTTTTATGGTAGCCGTCCTAACATTTGTGAAGTGGTATTTGATTGTCATTTTGATTTTATGCCTAGCCTTTTTAAATCCTGAGAATAAATAATTACCCTCAAGGAGTTGATAATGTAATTGGGATAATGAGACTTGAAAGATTAGAGGAAAACTTGCTGTGAAGAAATAACATTGCTCAGGTAATATTTATATTTAGGTCAGGTACATTGAGTTTTAGAGATGCCACCAAGGCAATATATGCCATCATTCAGGCTGGACTTTCTTCCTTACTCCATCCTACATTCCTGGCAGCCATTGTTCATTGTAATTGTTATTGCAGGTGATGAAATTAATATCTTAGCGGTGCCATCATTGGTTTGGTAGGATAAAAGTAACCCCAAATTTGAAAGTTATGAACTGTATTCCTGCCTATCTTTATCAATTCGGTTGTGCTTGGAAAAAAATTTAAATGGGTCTTTGCCTGTTAGTAGTTTCTGGAATTTATTAAGGTCATAATTCTTACGCCTTTGGTAGATGTAAGTTTGTAAGTTCAATCACAATTAAATGCAAGAAATCATTCTCAATTCTGGCTTTTTTTATTTTTTTAAAGCAGCTCTGAGTAAATAAATAGGACAGATTACTGACTTTATCAACTTTTGTCTTTCTAAGCAGCCTGTCACTAAATTTGTCTTTTGTTTTAAAATTTTTAAATGTTGGTAAATTGGGAAAGAGAAAAAGTACCTTAACTCTTAGATTACTTTGAACAAGGTTTTCCAGAATAGCTACAACTGATCACTAGGCAGAGACCTTCCAGAAAGATATTTTTTCCTTTTTCTTTTTTTCATTTTCAGAGCTCCTGCACAGAAAATTTGAAATTGGTTTTTTTCCCCCATAAATATTCTCTCTAGGTATGTGCCAAAATTCATTTATTATTGAAACTTTTTTTTTGGTTTGGAGAATAGCTAAATTGATTCAGTTTGAATCTTCTAAACAGATACTCTCTGAATGGGAATAAGTGAACCCCAGATGGGAGACTTTTTCTAACATGTGAGATGAAATTATGAGATTTTCATAGAAATGTGTGTATTTTCTCCATTTTATGTAACTGGTGGTGAATGGGTACAAACTCTGGACAGGAGACTCAAAGCATCCTTATTTCTGTAAAACTCATAATTTGTTTTCCTGTGAACAATCTCCCTTAGGAATCCTAACTTTTTCTCTTTGATCCATTTGCAGAATTAAAATGATCACTTTCACTTCCTTGGAGCTCATTGGTGGTTTAGCTTCTGGAGCATCTCAGAGTCAGAGAAATAAACTAATTGAGGCTGAAGGGAGGTGCCTGTAGCCTGGTTCTTGATGCTTTGAGGGGCATGTTCTGGACTGTAGGTCACCTTCCTTTTTTATAGTCTCTTTGTCTTTTATAACTCTAGCTGCTATGGGACTCCATTGTGCCACTTCAGAATTGGCCTGCTGTTCCCATTCTCTAGTTTGGGAAGTTGTTGGACAGGTGACGGACAGCAAAATATGCTTCAGATGCTCCATAGGATACCTTTAGACATATTGAAAGGGTAGCTCAATCTTAACTGCGTTGTCCAGGAACAGTGTGCCTGTCTTCCCTGTTGCTGAATAATAGGAGAGCAACTCGAGACTTTATATGGGGCAGTGTCATAAAAGCAACTGATTTAGTGGGTTACCCCTGTAAGGTGTTAGGACTACTCTTAGGAGTAGAAGAGGTTTTTTGGTATATATGGGCTTCTGGCTGCGGGGTTTTTTTCTGTTACCACTCCCACAGATCCAGTAGTGGATGACAGCTCTAGACTTTTCTTACATTGAAAGGCATTGACTATACTGGTAGCATTAGGTGAATTTATAAGTACGAGATAGCCAGCTTTTATTTTTCTTTTAAATTCTTGACAATTTCAGACTTACAGAAAAGTTGCAAGAATTCCCATAGATTTTCACTCAGATTCCTCAAATGTTAACATTTACTTTATCCTTCTCTCTGTCTCTGTCACATATATACCATATATACACACATATGTACATGTTTACATGAATATGTACATATATACATCTATGTAATTATATTTTATGTATTTTTCTGAAGTTATTGAGAGTACATTGTAGTCATCTCTAAATACTTTTGTGTGTATTTCCTAAAAATAGGGACAATTTCTTATATACCTGTATAGTGCCATGTTCAAAAATCAGAAATTAACATTGATACAATGCTATTAGCTAATCTATAGCCCTCATTCACATTTGCTGATTATCCTTATAATTTTTTTTTTTTTTTTTAGGGGAGTCTTGCTCTGTCACCTAGGCTGGAGTGCAGTGGCATGATTATAGTTCACTGTAACCTCAAACTCCTGGGCTCAAGCATTCCTCTTGCCTGAGCTTCCTGAGTAGCTGGGACTACAGGTGCACACCACCACACCCAGCTAATTTTTAGACGTTTTTTAGAGATGGGATTTCACTATGTTCTCCAGGCTGGTCTCAAAAATTATCCTTATACTGTTCTTTATAGCAAAAGAAAATCTCAGAGCATGTGTTATATTCAGTTGTCATGTTTTTGTAATCTGAAACAGTTGCTGAGTCTGTTTTATGACTTCAGCATTTTTTAAGCTTACAGGTTAGTTATTTTGTAGTAGTATGTCCTTCCCTGGCTTTTTTTTTGGATTGAGTTGTACGGTGCTTCATTTTCCCAAAATCTTGAGCTCCCTAATGATATAAAGGGACTAAGGAGTAAGGTTTCTAAGTGGTGATGGGGGACATGGCACAGCAGCCAAATCTGCTCTCTTAGAACCCTGACAGAGTGGGGAGTAGGCATTGTCATGACAGCTTGACTCCAGTCTCTCAGTTGAGCACCCTATTTTAGATGATGCAGGTGCTCTGTGTTTCATAGTTTCTCCCTCTCTGTTTTCTTATGTATTCAAAGCTGTAGCTTAGTGACCAACAAAAGATGGTTCCTCCGGCATGTGTATGTTCCATTTTCCCCTTGCCACCACCACCACACATGGGCTTTTTAAATCTTGTCTCACTGTTTCACAGCAAACCCGTCGGCCTCACTTTGCCTGTGCTTTTATAATGGTGTCTCAGTGATGGAATACTCCTCTTCCTTCATACATTCCTCCCATTAACACACTTGGGAAGCAAAAGCACAGTGGCTAAGAGTATGGGATTCAGAGTCAGACCACCCAGCCTTGATTCTGCCCCCACTCCGACTAGCTGTGTGACCTTGGGCAAATAGCTCAACTTTGCTGAGTCTGCTTCATAGAGGTTTTGTGAGGATTAAACATGACTTATTACTAAATAACAAATTAGTAATAGCAAATTACTAAAAATTTGAAAATAATAAAGCTAACATTATTGGGTGGGTACTTACTACGGGCCACTGTTTTAAGTGCCTTATAAAGCATACTTAATTGTGATAGACTCATTTTTTCAGAACTACTTTTATTCTTCAAACTCTTTAGCCCATTTAAGACAAGATAAAATATATGTAATGCAAGTATTTCTGATAAAAGTCTTGACTTTTTCTCTCCAGCAGACCAGAGGTTAGCAGATAGAGATTTTCGATCACTACTGCATCAGAGATCACTTTTCTCCATTGCTGTTCCAACATCTCTTTCTTTAGGAGTGGGAGCTGCTGGGAAACATTACTGGCTCTGTACTGATTTCAAATTCTAGATGTTAAGGAAATGGGAGTGGCGACAGGAAATGGAAGCCAGCAGCTGGGAAACAAGTTTGTAACTTGATGTCAGTGAACTGGTCTTTCACTCCTGGAAGACAAAATTACATGTAACTGGTTGAAGAGCAGGTGTCTCACCATTTTGTCTCAGTTTTTCCGTTTGTGAGTGCATTATATACAGCTGTTCAGAGCTATAACATTTTCCATTTGGCAGTTAGTTATCTAGTAAGCAGGCATTTTATTTTTAAAGCATGACATGGGTGTCCAAAATTTTTAAGTGCCCTAACTATGACTACTTAAAGATCTTGACACACAAGCTGAATGAGTCTGTAAAATATTTAATGTTAAAGGTTCTTATGGGCAAGCCCAATTTATTTCAAGTTTTTTTCCTTCTAATTTAGGCTTGCTTTTTAACACAACACAATGTTCAAGATAGCATACTATTCATTTGATTGGCTAACATTGTTTTAAAATTTTATTTATCTTATTAACTTCAAAAGGAGTCTCACTTCTGATTACTCTTGTGTATTTAAGCCAGTGAAGAAAAAGAAGATAAAACGAGAGGTTAAGATTCTGGAGAATCTTCGTGGTGGAACAAATATCATTAAGCTGATTGACACTGTAAAGGACCCTGTGGTAGGTGCCAAATGGTTGCGGGGGAGAACTAGTAGGCTGGGGTATGAATATGGGAGGTTGTTTAACACAGAGAAACCAAATAATGCTATATAGTGGGGTGTTTGTCTTTACTACTGAATGGTTGTGAAAACGAAAAAAATCATGGTGGCCCAATGACAAGGTAGCCGCCACCACTTGTATGGAACCTAAAAATGTACCGAGAAAAATCCCTGTCCCAGCTTTGTTACCTCATTATTTCGGTTCCACCCACAAATGTTTGCTGGATATCTCCTTTAAGCTTCTCTTTGTCTCCCAATTTTGAAAGCTAACAACTGTCAATTTGCATTATTTTATCTCACTTAAGTATGACATTTGAAAATCTCAATTTACACAAGGATACGTGGGAAATCTCCACGTGGACACCTGGCATAAAGAGCTGAGCACCTCACAGCCCTACTGGGTTGTGGAAGGTTGAGAAAGAAGAATCTGCCATTAGGGCTCACGTTGTATAGGTGTATATAACTAAAATATTCTTGTTAATGCTTAATTTTTAGCTGTTTTAGATGTGCCGTTTAATTTTGTTTTCTCTCCCTGGAGAGTAACTTACCCTTGAGTGTTTTTGACTAGCTAAGGTTAAAGACTTTCCGTCTCCCCCACTTCTTCCGTACCACTTCCCATCCCATTTCTGTTCTCTTCCTGCTCTACCTCAAATATTTCCCTGTTCTCCTGTGATAGTTTATTGTTTATTTAAGAAGTAGGTCTTTGCTTCTGTCTGCTAAAGACATCCTCATAATAGCAGCTAACGTGCATTGAGCACTTACTATGTGCTGGGCACTGTTCTGAGTGTTTAACCGTGTCATGTCATTTAATCCTCACAACAGTCCACTGGGGTGGGTACTGTTACTGTCTGCATTGTACAGATAAGAAAACCAAAATCTGCGGAAGTTAAATAATTTGCCCAAGATTACACAGTATTGTTGAACTAAAGAACAAGGAACGCTTTTCCTTTTAGACCCTGAAAAGACTGAGAAGGAGTGGTTGTATGTCAGATTGTGTCTAATTGACATTAAAAAATATATCGTATCCTGATTAGCCCTGATTTTATAATGACTAGCTCTGGACTGCCTAACATTTTGAAAATGGCCTGCATTAAAAATGAGTATTGTCAGGCCGGGCGCGGTGGCTCACGCCTGTAATCCTAGCACTCTGGGAGGCCGAGGCGGGCGGATTGTTTGAGCTCAGGAGTTCGAGACCAGCCTGAGCAAGAGCGAGACCCCGTCTCTACTAAAAATAGAAAGAAATTAATCGGACAACTAAAAATATATAGAAAAAATTAGCTGGGCATGGTGGCGCATGCCTGTAGTCCCAGCTACTCGGGAGGCTGAGGCAGAAGGATCGCTTGAGCCCAGGAGTTTGAGGTTGCTTTAAGCTAGGCTGATGCCACGGCATTCTAGCCCGGGCAAAAGAGTGAGACTCTGTCTCAAAAAAAAAAAAAAAAGATTGTTGTCCATTTAAAAAGAGCACGATATAAAAATAAGAATTTCAGAAGAATTTTTAAAATATGAGCCAGTAGGTAGTATAACAAAAGCATTATCATTTTGCTTTTTTTTCAGGTTAACAGAACTTACCTGTCTTATTTTTGTAATTTGTTACTTAGAGTGTGTATGTTTTACATGATATGTAAGACAAGTAAGTTGAAGTTGACGAAAATCGGCAAGGAGCCCTTGCCCCTGACTTTTAGAGGATCAGGCTTACTCCACAGTCTGTAGGGAGATCTGCTGGCCTTGATGAAACTCTTAAAACTCTGGGCTAGTGAGGAATTGTTTGATCATGGCTGCTGTTGGGCTGCTGCTTGAGTTGTCCTGGTGTGAGTGTAATGTGGCCTGTTTCCTAGGTAACTTTCACCTGGCCCTTGAGTAAAAGTCACCAACAATAAAGATTTCCAGGATGATTTTTTTTCTTCCTATAACCCTTTAAGCCTCTGCTTTTCTCCCAATTTTGAAAGCTTATTATTGCCAATTAGCATTATTAACTTCACTTAAGTAAACCCTACATTCGAAAATCTAGATTTACACCGGAAATATTGAACATTTTGTACTGATTGCATTAAAGATTATAGTGCTTTAGAAATATTTGGTTATATATGATTTTTTTGAAACACATCTGCTTTGTAAGGTGAGACATTCTTTAATGGTCTCTAGCCCAGGCAGTAATTTTACAGTGTAGCTTATTGATAATTTCATGGGTAATTATATTTTTCTTTTGGACCCTGAAAAGACCTATGATAATTCTGTCAAATGCATCTGCCTTGCTAAACCAAGATGAAAATGTGTTACTCCTTTTGTAGTTGGCAAACTGGAACACTGCAGAGTGTAAATCCTCACACAACCATTGACAGGTTGGTCAAGGCCATTGATAGGTTATTCCAAGAATACATTTCTTTTTTAACACTTTTTATTATTATAAAAAGTTCCAGCCATTTACAAAAGTAAAGTGAATAATATAATGAACCTTCCTGCACATGTCACCTAATTTAGCCAGTTAATCATCCTGTGGCCAACCTTGTTCATCTGTTCTCCCACCTCCCACCATCCCCAGTTATTTTGAAGCACATTCTAGGCATTGTAAATTTCAAGAAGACACTTTCTGAACAACCTGTCCCTGGTGACTGAATCCCTTTTGCATCTAAGTGGGATTTGAGGATGGGCCCTGTGGCAGAAGCAAATTATATTGATTATTATTTGGGTACTTAAAAAGCATTAATATTCTCTCTTACAGTCAAAGACACCAGCTTTGGTATTTGAATATATCAATAATACAGATTTTAAGGTGCGTATACTTTTTCTTTCTGGCATGGGGTTAATGGGGGATGGGGAGGTGGTGATAAGTACTGTTGACTTTAGGACACAAGGGAGCCAGAGATGTCATTGAGAGTAGGACATAACAAAGTGGATTCCTTATAGCATGAGTACAGTATGCAGAAAGTGGTTATAGTTCCTACATTTGGTAAAATTACTCATCACCCTTTGCCAGAGTAGCTGCTCAGCTGGGTCTAAGCTAATGCCTCATCTGTAATGTAACACTCCTGTTTTAGACAACAGAGCTTTGGGTGGGTGTTGACTTTGATATTCATAAGAAATCTTAACTTTGCTGCAAGGAAGGGATAAACTGATACAGGGCTCTTGTGAAAAGAAGCAATACGTTGGATTCAAGCTGTCAAATAATGAGTGCGTGTGTTCAGGCACACTATGTACAAAGCCGATGATATAGAAAAACTAGTGAAGAGTCACTGCTTTAGAAGAGCCCTATCTTGGGTTTTTTTTTTAACATTTTCTTACATTTATAATATATGTTATTTTAGACTTTGAAGTGTTATTCAGAAAGCACAGTTTTAAACTGGTTTTTCGTTAATTGTTTTTATTATTGTTCAGACACTAAAACCTTAACTTCTGATAAGGTTTTTGGGGTTAGGCATACTAGATATGGTAGAAACCCCCCCCTTTTAGAGCATAATTTGAAAACCAGTATAAAAACCAATATAAAAACGAAATAGTGGTGTTGATTTTCAGGGGCATTTAGAGGACTTTTAGTTGACTGTAACACTCCATCAGTGAATAAGAGAGTTGTGGTTTTGTTGTGATAGAAGCTAGAGACAAAACCAAATCAGTGATTGAAAGATGCTAGTGTCAGGAGTGATGCTTTTGGGTGAAAGTTAAAAAAAAAAACACCTTATTCTTGCATTTAATCTTAGTCGCTCTAAAATGACTCTAAAACAAGATCAATTAATGAAGAATAAGCAAAAGAGGATATTTTGACTTATAAAACAATAAGTAAGAGTACGGAGTATCCTATATGTAACAGGTTTACTTGTTAATGTGACTCCTTACAGGTGAAATCAGTGGTGAGCTCTAAAGTGTGGATGTAAATTTTTTCATTTGGTAGCATAGTGGTGGTTAGCCGGTAGAGTACTGTGCTGATATGTGTAGCTGATCATGTGAATCACTCAGGTTTATCATGCTATACATGAGTGGGACTGTATGTGCGTGTCTTAGAGAACTAGACAGGCTTTAATAAAACCAAACATTTTTCTAATGCAAAAGTTTAAAAGCTAGTCTTAATGGAACTTATTAGTGCAGTTCCCCAAGTTTTAAATGCGTCTGTTTCATTAATGAGCTTTCACCAATAGTCTGGCCACATATATAAAATTTCAGTTCAGCATTTTGTGTTTTTTGAAGTGACATCTCTGTTGATTTAACAACATGGTAAAGATCAGCAGGAATTCTAATTTCCTAGAGAAATCTTCCCGGGGATTTTAACCCTCAAAAGGGATATTTCCTACATTCTTTAGTACTTTTCTTTAAAGGGATCATGGGAAGTTAATGTTTTTTTGAGGCTTGCATATCTGAAAACATCTTTATTTTGTCTTCCCAGTTTATTTGCCTGGGGTGTAGAATTCCAGGTTTAATTCATAATTTACTCAATTTTGAAGAGATTGTTTCAGTATTAACACCAAAGCCATTCTGGTTGCTTCTTGTGTGATGGTTTTTGTTTTGTTTTTCTGCAAGCTTTTGGGGTTTTGTCTTCATTCCCAGACTTCTGAAATTACACAATGATGTGCCTTCATACGGGTCTCTTTTATCGTTTGTTCTACATACTTGCTGGGCTTTTTCCCTTCGTTTTGGAAATATATTTTTAATGTACTTTGATTTTTCTCCCCTTTTTTCTTTGTTCTCACTTTCTAGAACTCAAATGTTAGACTTCACATCTTAGAGCTTCATTTTGGGCTCAGAACTTTTTAAAATAGTATCCTGTTCTTTCATGTTTTATGTAATATCTTCTATTTTCTCACTGAGAATACTTTTCCCCTTCATACCTTTTCTCTATTTTTCTTTCAGATTGCTTTTCGTGTGCGTGTTTTTGTTATTTGTCTCTTTTATAATTGTCTGAAATGTCATGGTTCTTGAATATCTGCTCACATTTTAGAGTATTGCTCTGAAGAGCCATCAGCTCCTGTCTCAAGGATGCAGGCTTGGCTGCTGGCATCTTAGTAGTCACCAGTTGAGGAGAGCTTGTGCGGACTTCACTTCATTCTCCTATGTTCAGAGTGGTGTTATAAACCCATTTTTCTGTTTTCAGCACCCTCTGTTTACTCTCTCTCAGTGATACTGGGGTTACCAATCCAGAGCCCTTCGGTAGGGCTTGTTCAGTTTAAGACTGTTTGCTTCTGGGCCCCCTTCACTGTTGGCAGAATTTTTAGCTTTTTTTCTACTAAGTCAGTTGGACATGTTTTCTAGCTTCAAAATGTTGTGTCTCCTGTTCTCTTAGTTCTTAGAAAGTTAATCTTCCCACCCCGTGCTCCTCTTACTGTTCACTTTAGAGGATCTTCAGGTAGAAGCAGAGGTCTGTGATCTGCCATGTTTAACTGAGGTCCCCTTTGAATGTTTAAGCCATGACATTTTAATCAACTTCAAAGATCATTAAATATCAGGTAGCAGATGTGTATCTTGGAAGAGCAAATCACAGGGAAATCTTCTTTCCCAGATAGTATGGCAGGCCACAAATAGGGAGATCAGTTGGTTTAATGTCTTTTTATTTTGTCCTGTGTCCATCTTGTTAGGAAAGTTTGTTTTTATTTTTTATCTTTCTTATTTTAGTGTAAAGTGTTAGTAACTCGTTTTAAGGTATCACCCAGAGAGCAGTTGTCCCTGGCTTAATATTAGGGTGAATCAACAGTGATGCACCCTGCAGCCTATTCTTTTCAGTATTTTTTGTTGGTGCAATTGATAATTATGATCTACAATTTCCTTTTATTGTAGAGTCCTTCTCTAAATTTGGTGTCAAGGTTATCCTACATAATTAATAAGTTGGATAGCTTTTCCTCTTCCCATTCTCCAAGTTTGCATAAGATAAGGGTTACCTGGGTAGTTGTCTTTCAGGGGTGAGAGGAAAACTTTGTATTGTACTTTCCTTTTCAAAACATTCTATAGGTTAAAGGTTTATCCAGGTTTTCTATCTTTTCTTCAGTCTACTTGGATAACATTTCTGTAGTTATTCACTTTCAATTTTATTAGCATAATGAATTCTGTTAGGACTTTAAAACTCTATTATAGCCGTGCTTATTCCTTTACATTTTAAACATTATTTGTGCCTTTATTCTTTTTCTTTTTTTAATTTAAATGTCTTGCTAGAGATCTCTTATTAATCTTTTCAAAGAACTAGCTTTTGGGTTTTTTGCTCAGCTGTTGTTTTTCTATTTCATTCTGTTTCTGCTGGTATCTTACTTTTCTTCCTTCAGTTTTCTTGGGCTTTCACTGTTTTTCCTCCTAACTTCTTGAGTTGAAGTCAACTGATTTGATTTGTTCCTGTTTTTCTTGAATGATAATATCTTTACTTAAGTCTGTACAACCCTGAGCATCATTTTAGCTGCATTCCATGGTTATGGAACTTACTTTTAGATAGTTTTCAGTTTAGAAGTACAGATTCCAATACTTGTGGATTTGTGGTTTTCTCCCCAAACTTTTTACTTTGAAAACTTAAAACCTGAAAATTGGAAAGAATAGCATAATCAGTACCCTCCTATCCTTCACCTAGATTTACCAGTTGTTGGTATTTTGCCACATTTGCAGTTGTATCTGTCCCATCTCCTGACCCTCCCCTTTCTGTCTCTTTGTCTTTTTGCTGAGTCATCTTAAAGTAAGTTGCAGACATCATCATGATACTCTACTTATAAATATGCTAGCATGGAAACTAGGACACAGTACTGTTAGTACATGTAAGGAATTTAATATTTATGCAATAATGCCATCTAATACAGAGTTGATATTCAAAAATTTCCCAGTAATTGCTGTTCTAGTAATGTCCTTTATAGCTGTGTGTTTGTGAATATATGATCCTGGATCCCGTTGGGTTTTTAAAAAATTTGATTGTACTGTGTCCAGAGAACATGTTCTATATAATATTGATTATTTGGAATTTATGAGTGGTTGCTTTTTAACTTTAGTACATGACATGATCATTTTTTTACACCAAGCTTCTTAATTTAGTTCAGATCTTCGATAGCCTCACTAATTTTTTTCCTTGTATTTCACTTTGTGGTGGAGGTACTGGTTTGGTTAGTTTCTCCTTGAGATCAGCATTTATACTTTATATATGCCAAAGCTATAATAAAAGATTCATGGTGATACAAATGAATAGGAAAAATAAGTCTCTAAGAGTTGCAATGAGTAGTTATAGAAAATCCCAAACCCAGAAGTGTCTCGATGAAAGCTGAGGTACCATTTTGAGTACCAAAAAAAGTTTCTATGAAGACATGCTTCTCAATTTTCTATGCTTTTGGACTAGTGTAAATATAATAGACATACATTTTGAGTAAAATACATCATCTGGACATTTTAAAGTTTGATAAGACACTGTAAAGTAAATGGGTTCCATTCTAAGAAAATGATAGAATTGCATTGATATTTGGAGAATTTCTAAATCCCTCACAATAGAGGTAGGCCTTGACTTAGCCGATAACTGAAATGTTGTTAAATCTGTTAAGAGTTTGAGTTTACAGGCTAAATACAGTTTCCTTAGTTGGGGGAATAATAATAATGTACTGTTATAAATAGGTCATTAACATTATTGTGTCATTTTCTTTAAGAAAATAAGTGAAGTTTTCAGGTGATCAATGGTAACTTTGATTTGCTTGATCAAAGATTTATTCACCTTCCTTAAATTTCTAAAAATATTGACCTTGGTTTTATTCCTGATCTTGTGGTTTGCATGTTAACAGTGCCTAAACTATTGACTGCTGCATTAAACATATCTTTCACCTTCACTTATAGCCTACTCTGCCTGATTTTTCTTCTCTCTACATGGGGACCACTGGGATTTACGGACATAGACTGAGCTGTGTATGTCAGGGAACATGCAATCTCTGTGTGTGGTGTAAGAGTTTGCTGTGTTGGTGATTCCCACATATGGCACGTGACCAGAGCTACCTGGGAACTTTTTTTATAAAATGTGGAACCCTCCTGAGTGGCAATAGCTGAGAGTGGGGCCTTGGAATCTGTGGTTCATTACGATGCAGCTGAAATGCACCTGGAATTTGAACGGCTCTATGTGCCTCTAGGAGGAGCGAGGCCCACCTGTGGCTGTTCCATTCTGCCGTCTGTGGTTTTAGACCAAGGAGGACCTGAATCTAATCAAATTGCAGTTTCTGCCATTCTCATCCTCAGACATTTTGGGGTTAATCTAAAGGCCCAGGAAATTTCCACATTGGGCCCTTTAGAGTAGTCCAGTAGTAAAACTGATTTCTAGGGAAATGGCAGTGTGTTTGAGACTTTGGAACAGACTGGGATTGGTGAGTAGTTTTGTCCTCACTACCTTTTAATGTGGGAAGCAGAGGCTTGTTCTTTATAAGGCACTTACTTTATAAAAGTGTAAGCAAAGCTGACTTCCTGCCAGCGTTTTGCAGTGGGTTATTTAATAATAACATAGCTGCACATAGCTGGCTAAGAAGAATGGAGGGAAAGTTTGGTTCTTGTGAAGCTTCTCTTTCTAATTTGTCATGGACTCTTGGTACTTCTGAATTTCTTGAAAGACAGTTTCTTTTTTGCCTATTTTTATAATGTTTACCATTGACTGCTAAACATTACAAAAAACGTGTGCAGGGCAGAACCACCATACGTGGTGTGGCGTATATAAAGTATATGCCGTTCTACTATATGAGGACTTAGAATGTGGTTGGACAGTTTAGTGTGGGGAAAAATGGGTGTAGTGCTGAGTTGTTCAGTGGACCCTTGGCATACTTGTGGGGTGGGGGGAGTTCAGATATCTTAAATCACCAAGTTTGGTGACTGTCACCAGCCACAGTACCCATTTTTCTCCGTGATAGGTGTATTCGACAACACACAGAGAATGTTGAGATGGGACTCTTGGGGTGTGGGCAAAGCATACAACAGTGAGGAATTGCCTGGATAACTTGAGGTCACTGCCAGTACCCAAGTGAGGAATGTTAACTCTGGGGGTGCTGCTGCTCTCAGTGTCCTGTGAACACCCCAGCTGGAGAGTAAATGGCATGGAGTTCAGAGAAGGGAGAGATTGTTGCTAGCTCTGTAAAAAGTGGATGGGATGAGTTTGGTTTTACAGGTAGGATGGGCAGGGTATTCCAGATCGGCCCTGGGGGCACTGGAGGGGAAGAATGGAGGCTACAAACACAGGTTTGTTCTGTCCGAGCAGGGGACTGCAGTGGAGAACAGAGCTATGAAAGTTGGAGAATCCAGATTGTGGACCCTCGGGAGTCCTGAACTTTAGGCCCACATGGTTAAATGTTACAGAGGTAGTTTGGTCTCCTCCCACCCAGAGCTCCTGAGACACGAGTGTGAACGGCAGCCCGTCATTCAGGACTTTGTAATATATTAGACCTAAACACCAGAGTACAACTGGTGTCTTTTGTATTAAATAAACTTGATGTTGGTTGAGATAGCTAGAAATACTATATTGGCAGTCCAAGGACAGTTATCTTTATGCCTTACACCGTTTACACAGATGCATGGTATAGGTACCACATGACAGGAGTGGAAGAGCCTTGCACAGATTAATGTCCTAATAAAAATAGCACATATTGGTTTTCTGGAAATAAAATATTACAGCCCTCTGGACAGAAAATTTGATCTTTTCTCTTTCATCTGCTATTTATTAACTTGAAGTTTAATTGAGCACAGTCTCTGTGAGTGATCTCCTTAACTCACAGAGTAGGAGCCCAAGATATGGTATCCTAAGCCTCTCTGTGCATTTAAGCTGTCAGGGTGCAGCTGAGTACTGGCTAAGCAGCTTTCCTTGCAGTGAGTGCAAAGCTAGGGGAAAACAGAAAACTTGGGTGTCTGATCGTTCTTTAGCTGAAGCTCTCCTGAGCAGAAGTGGTGGCTTGTTTGTGCCGTTCTGCCTGAATTTGGGTCAGTTGCAGCCAGAGCAGCTCAGTGACACCGCCAGTGCACTGGCCTGTACATGTTCATTCCCTGCCGCCCCTGAGCCAGCGGTTGTGTGAGGTATATAAAATCAGATACTCTTACTAAGCTGGAAGGGAGAATTACTCTTACCTAAAACGGGAAACTTGAGAAAGAAGCAAAGTCCTGGTGTTCTTAGAAAATGTTAAATTTGATGTTTGTCTTAAAAAATTTTTTGAACAGGTAATGTAATTTAGATGAATATAAAATGTTATACAGTGAAGTCTCCTTTATTCCATTCCAGCTGCCTGTTCCTCTACACATATATACATGAAACCACTTTTTATTAATTTCTTCTTTGTCATTTTTGGAGATACAAAAAATACTGATAGGTAGTTTTAGTTTCCCCCTTTACGCAGACACATTGTATACACTGTGCTCCCTGGAGAGATTCCCTACATTGCTTGAGTCTTTCTTCCAATAGAGGAACAACAGAAGTTTTAACACATTAACTGCCATGTGAGTTGTATTTAACTCACACTCGTTTTGAGCCCGGGGCCTCGTGAAGCGTATGTAACTCACATGTCTCTTCACCTTTGGAGCTGTGAGAACTATTTTTCAAGTTGCATATAACTCATGCACAGAAAACAATAAAAAATAACAAATTTTTCATTAAATTAGAAAGGATCATTTTGTTTTTGAAGTTTTTATTCTATTTTCATAATAAAGCACTGTGGCCCCAAGGAAAAAAATTTTTCTAGTGTGGCAGTCGATGTGTTAATAAAGGTGTGTTGGTTACTTTTATAGAAAGTCCTGCTTGAATTGATGGGGAAAGAGATTTACTTGGAATTGATTGCATTATCAAAGATAATAGAGTTTCTTACAAGGGTTTATGATGCCTTTAATGAACCTTGTTACATAAATGTTACTCTGACTCTTAGATTGAAGGGTTTTTTTTAAACTCCCAGTTGGTGGCTTTTTGGATTATCAATAATGAAAATTTTCATTTGTATGTCAGTTTGGCCTGTGATCATTTTCTGTACCCCTGTCCTTTTCTTTTTAACACCTCATTCCACTACTACTTTTTTCTTACCCCTAAGACGTAAATTGTTGCCTGTGAAATATTCTTTTTTTTTTTTTCCAGCCTGGAATTAGTTTTGAGGGAATAGAGGGTAGAGATTTTTAGAAAGCTCTTGCCATCTCCAAATACTATAGCACATCATTTTCCTCATGTTTATTTCATAAACAACCTATCTTGTCACTATTTTATCACCTCAGCTGCTAAATCTCTTCCCGGATCTGCTGTCTACTCAGAACTCACTTCTCCAAAGTATACTCTGGTGCTGCAGTGGGGTTAGTTAGTTGATGTGCAGTAAGAACATGAAGATGGTTGGGCAACTTAGACTTTGCAGTAATGTAATCATGGGTATTAAAGTCATGGAGTATTAAATAGCAAATATCCAAGTTGGCTTCAATGTTTTTCTTCCTTGGAATTCCTTCCTCTCCTTTTTTTTTTTTCCTGAAGATTAAAATATTAGACCCTCATCTTTAGTCTTTGTCCCCATTTGTTCCCAATCAGGTAGTAAAAAGTCATAGGATTCCTTAGTAACTTAAGCACTGAGTAAGCTTACGGAGAATGGCCCACACTTGGGATGACAATATGCAATGAGACTAAATTAACTTTGTTTTCTGAAATCTGTTTCAGCAACTCTACCAGATCCTGACAGACTTTGATATCCGGTTTTATATGTATGAACTACTTAAAGTAAGTGGCATTCATAAATCATGAATTTTTTCAGGCTTATTCATTAAAGGAGGTTTTTGAGAGAACACAGAGAATTCAAGCAGACTATTTCTTGATACCGAGAGAATTTAGTGAGGTTTTTAAACTTATATTGAGGGCTCCATTGTGGAATCTTCATGTAGAAACTTTCCAGTGGGACTGAGAAAGATGGCCAAGTTAGGGAGCACCCAGACGTTATCCCAAAGATTAGAACCTCCTGTCGCTCTTCTTGGTCCTTGGATTTTCTCTTTGTTGCTTAATTAATACTTACTATGAATATAGCAAATCACCCCAAACTTAAGGACTTTCTAAAAATGACTTATTGTTTCTCATAATTCTGTGGGTTACCTGGGTGATTCTTTAAGTCTGGGTCAACTTGAGTGGGGCACGATGGTCCAGGATGGCTTCATTCGCATATCCGGGGCTGAGGTTTCACCTTCTAGGAAGTTAGTCCAGGCTGCTTCCCGTGCTCATCTTGGGGTTCCTAGCAGCAAGAGAAAGGCAAACCTCAACGTGGAGCTCCTTTTCATGCTTTTGTCGTATTTGCTAATACCCAGTTGACCAAAGCAAATCACATGGCTAAGCCTAGCTTCAAAGGTGGAGAAATAAAGTCCACTTCTTGTTGGGAAAAGCACTGAAGTTATTGTAGAGGGATGTGTGTACAGGGATCGCAGGCATTCGTGGCCATTTTTTTCTTGCCGTCTGTCGTCATCCTCTTCTTGTATGAGACTACCTACCCTTCCTGTTTAGCTCTGGCTGGTTAATGCAGGAAGAAGTTGATGGGTGGATTGTCTAAGAGACTTCCCAAGCGCTGTGAAACTTTGAACCATTACTGATTGGTGGAATGATGGTCATTTTTAGTTTGTCTAGGCAACCACTTAGGTAAAGAACTATTTTTTTTTTTTTTTAAAGTTTGTAAAATGGAATTGACCAATTGGAACCTAGATCTTTAGGGTCGTAGATCACTAAGAACCCGATGAAAACTATGAACTCCTTCCAAAAATGCGTGTATAAATGTACAGTATTGCATAAAGTTTTAGGGGAGCTGTGGGTCTTAAGAAACTCTGAAATAAGATAGAGATGACTAAGGTACTGGCATTATTGAAGAAAATTGCCAAGATAGAGTTTTGATGGGGTTGTGAATAGTTGCTTGAACTAAATACCAAGGTGAATTCAAGGCTGGGCTTTAGGGAATGGGAATTTGAAGAACTAGCTCTATGAAATGATGAGTGTGTTTTCTTGTGAGCACTTGTCATTAGAGAGAGCCAAGGTGGTAGATTCACTGTCTAATGAGTCTTCTTCTGTCAGTAAGATCAGAAAGACAAAGGAAGTAGAGCTTGATTTATCCCACCTTTGTCCACATCCTCTCCAGACTAGAATCGAAGCCTTGGTGTGGAGGAGATTCGCGGTGCTGTGGTCCTGTGAACTATCAGGCTAGCTCCTTTCCTAGAGATGCTTCCCAAAGAAGCCCATGCACTCACCCTCAGAGAGCTACAATATCCAAATCTCACAATTGGTTGTTTTTAAGTAAGGTAGTAGTGAGATTTTGTGGCTTTTAGCTAACTCCAAAGGTAAAGATTTATAACCTAGCACATTCACCCTTGGATCAAGTAGAGATGTCCTAATAATGCTGGTCTTCCCAGGCTGGGCATGCAGCTGTCACTCAATGTCTGATGTCCTTTCTGCTTTCTGGAGGTGGCAGCTAGGCAGTAAGGGCATCTACTTCTTTCTGCTAATGAGGCATAGCGTCCCAGGTGAAACTTGAGAAACGTCTTTCATGCTTAATGGTCAGAAACTGTACCAGATTTTAAAACTGAAATAATTCCCCCAGGAATTTAAAAGCATGTCAGTAACTCCACAGGGAGTCCGACTAGGGAACTGGGCAAAAGAATTAATTAACTTACTGTATTTGTTCAGCCTTTGCTTTCGTCAGGTATTTTTCACATGCCGGGTATTATGATCCTAATTAGTTTATTCCTTTGGGCAAAGACTAGGCAAAATAGCAGAATCAACTCTTGGTAAATTTTCTCTTTGAAAAGAAAATGAGGAGTGGGGAAGAGGAAATCTTTAACTTCATCGAAACTGAGGGTGCGGGCTCAGGTGTGATTGCTCAGCGACTTGCTGCTTTGCAGCAGTGGCCGCTCTCCTAATTCAGATTCATGGGATCTGTCTCCTGGTTTCATGAATCCCTGCTACAAAGGCACTTTGGAAGATTGCCATAATTATTCTAAAAGAAAACAACAAAATTGAAGTAGAATATAAATGAAGAGAATAAATCTTAAGTGTACATTTTTTTGGATTTTTTTCATATGTAAAACCTTCACCCAGATCTACATAGGGCTATGCTATCCAGTATAGTCATTAGCTGCTGCCCATAGGTAGCTATTTAAATTAAGTTTAAACTTAAAATTTTAGTTCCTTAGTCACATTAACCACATTTCAGGTGTTCAGTGGCCTCATGTGGCTAGTGGTTACCATACTGTACCGTGTAGATACGGAATATTTCCACTATTGCAGAAAGTTCTGTAGGACAGGGCTGGTAGGGAATATTACGAACATCCCGAAGGGCTCTCTTGGGTCTGTCTTTTCGGTATCTCCTCCTGTGAAGATTCTAAAAATCACCATAGTGTAATATTGCCTGTTCTTGATCCTCAAATAAAAAGCATTGTACATAGTATCTGGGAAAGCAAAATTTGGTACAGACCAGGGAAGCTTTTCCTGGAATGCTGATCCCAGGTCTTTGGCTTATGTATTCCTCCAGTGTGAGATGCCTACTATAGTTCAGCTCAGTGTTTCTCAACCAGATCAAGCTTGGCCCCCAGGGGACATTTGACAGTCTTGAACCATTTTTGGTTGTTACAGCTGGAAAAGCACTACTGGCAATTGGTGGGTAGTAGCCAGGGAGTCTACAAAACATCCTCTTTTACACAAGACAACTCCCACAGCAAAGAATTATCTGGTCCAAAATGTCAACAGTGCTGATGGGGTTGTGAGGAATCCTGATGTGGTTCATGGGAAACTCCACCAACAGCACTCAGTGCCATCCACACACACAGTAGGCACCATATGATCATGGGCTGCTATCATTATTTGAGGAGTATATCATTGGCCTTGTGTAGGCTTCAAGTACCTTTTAAAACAAGCCAAAGATCCTGACTCTGAAATTCGTGAAGATAGTTAGTGTGTTGGGAAAGGGAGATTTAGGAGCAAATTTTTATATTAAAAAAAGGTTAAACCAAATAAACAAAAGATTTGAATCAACATTTCTCCAAAGAAGATATAATGGCCACCTGAAAAGGTGTTCTACTTCATCACTCATTGTGGAAATACAAATCAAAACCACAGTGAGATACCACTTCACACCCACTGGTAAAGCTTTAATCAGAAAGGTGAACAGTCCAGGCGTGGTGGCTCACGCCTGTAATCTTAGCACTCTGGGAGGCCAAGGCGAGAGGATCACTTGAGGTCAGGAGTTCGAGACCAGCCTGAGCAAGAGTGAGACGCATCTCTACTAAAAATAGAAATTAGCCAGACAACTAAAAATAGAAAAAATTAGCTGGGTGTGATGGTGCACGCCTATAGTCCCAGCTACGTGGGAGGCCGAGGCGGGAGGATCGCTTGAGCCCAGAAGTTCGAGGTTGCTGTGAGCTAGGCTGATGCCATGATACTCTAGCCCAGGCAACAGAGTGAGACTCTGTCTCAAAAAAAAAAAAAGATGAACAGTGACAAGTATTGGTGAGAATGTGGAGCAGCTGAAGCCCTCATGTTGCTGGTGTGAATATAAAATGGTATAGCCACTTTGGAAAACAGGTAGTTTCTTTAAAAGTTAAGCATAAGGCCGGGCACGGTGGCTTACGCCTGTAATCCTAACACTTTGGGAAGCCAAGGTGGGAGGATTGCTTGAACTCAGGAGTTTGAGACCAGCCTGAGCAAGAGCAAGACCCCATCTCTACTAAAAGTAGAAAAATTAGCCGGGCGTTATATTTGCCTATAGTCCCAGCTACTCGGGAGGCTGAGGCAGGAGGATCGCTTGAGCCCAGGAGTTTGAGGTTGCTGTGAGCTAGGCT